TTTTGATCTAGAAAGCCTTTTCCATAGGTCTGCAACCAGAATAGGTCTGCAACCAGAATACTTCAGAGCAAGCCAAAGATCTCTTATCTATCTTGAAACAGATATCTTGCAAGAAGTACATTTAAAACAATAGTCAGTTAAATGTTTAATTTTAACAAGTAGTATCAGGAGATTAAAACAAACTCCCAGAAGATCCTAGTATCACATATGGGACCAGAAATTTAAGGAGATCGCATTATGTATGCTAAAGGAAATTGCTGAGGAAAAGAAAGCTAAGCCTGAAATAAGCAAGCCTTCATAATATAGTGGTATGACTACACAAAGAAATATGGAATTGAAAAGAAAAATCCTTGTTGGTTTATTAAATAAGGTAGACATTTTCAGTTCAAAAAAGAAAAATGATGAAAAGAAAAAAGAAAAGAAAAACAACCCACACCAGCTAAACCATATTATAACTTTGCCAGAAAGGATTTTAGCAACCTAAGAGACAAAAATCTAAATTTTACTCTTTCAAAGGACATAAGATTTAAGTGACATAATCCAATTATCAAACACTGATCTGAAGATTTTTAGTAGTCAGTCTTAGTTTCCTATAGACAAAATAACAGAATGGTTTCTTATCCCCATTATCATGGGAAAAATTCAATAAACCACAAAATAGTGAGGCAGACTGCCGAGAAAAACCTTCGATAATTATAGTATAACATATATAAGTTAGTGAAGACGTTTGTTAGCACCATTTTGACTGTCACCAAGAGAACAACAATGGATTTGGCTGTACTTTTGTCTCTTGTTCTCTTTTTATGCTCAAAGATAAAATAGAAATTACTGCTTTTGATCTAAACCAGGAGTAGACTGAAAGAAAACAACCTTCAATTTCAGAAATATGCTGCATCTCAAATGGATATAGACATATAGGCATAAACGCTCGCATATCACAAATTCTTTTTTTAAAGAACTGTTGTGAACAAATTAATCCATAACCTGAAAGATTCATATTATTCGTCAGAAGAATATCATATTAAGAACCATTCCCACAAGGAGATTGGACTAGTTAAATGTACAGTAAAGTATGTCACTGATTAGATTTCCCTTTTTAGCCAGGCGATATACCTGTACTTATTTCCAGTGCTGCCTGTTAGAAAAGAAAGTCTAAGTCTCCAATTTTCAAAGTTAGATTTAGGTCTTCAGAAGAACATACCTTATTTGAAAACTGGGCCTCGGTGGTGTAAGACCCATACTACAAGGAATATTTATTCCTCTCAGCACTGTAAGGCTGAAGACATATCTCAAAAAGTTAAAAAAAAAAATAATTTCATAAAGCGATAAATATTACCTTTGGTACATACGGATCCCAATCTATGTACCCAATGTTGTCAGTGGCCAAACGAGCGAAAAGGTTTACTAAATGCTGAAAACAATCACAAAACAAGAAAACATTCATAAGAATACATTTATGACAAAAGAGGCGCAAAACCCTTCAATCTACCTTACGGTTGCAAGATTAAAACTACCCGTAGCAATAAACCACTTGTAAAGGGAGATTTCACACCATCAGAAACCACCAATACCATATTTCATAATCCATCTGCAGGGAGTTACTACCTTCAGGAGCCAAATCCATTACTCAATGCTTATGACTAAGCAGGAGAAACAGGCTGTATATTTCAGGGAACTTGTACCTATCAGCATATACACTCCAACTCTTCAAACTTTTTATTTCTAATGACACTCTAATGGTACTTTTTGAAGGTATTCTCATACTGTCCTCTCCTCCATGCTCTGTATATTAACATGTGAGCCAGAACACACTCATCACCGTTTTAGTTCTTTCTCAACCAGTTACTGTCAGAACAACTCTGAAGCACAGTAAATGAAGAGGAGCAAACAAACTCACCTATGAGCTACCCGCTGACAAAGACTCCAGCTTTTGCTAAGAAATATCTTTTCCCCTTTTGAGTAGCTCCCACATGGCAGAATAACCAAGCAGTGACTCCCAGAAGTTACCTGTAATAAGCCTCAGAGTCCTTCAAACAAACACCTTTTTATCAATTAGGTATGTAGCAGACTGTTCATCTCTTTGCAGTAAACATTTGGAACAAAATCCAGATGACAGTCGACATATTTCACAGAAAACTCACAACGCAAAGGAAAATTTTTACTCTTGCTTTTTCACTCCCAAAGTGAAATCTTGTAACAGAACAGGCTTTGCTTGGTCATTCTGTGTGCAGACTGGCATGCACAATGCATTTGGGCATTATGCAGACTTCTCTAACAGAAACTTGTTTTGATAGACTGTGATACCCAATTTTGATAGCATTTTGAGAGAATATTATTTGGATCAGTTATCATTAGAAAATGGTCTAAGGAATAGTTTGAAGAACGTGACCCTACCAAGGTACATGTTAAGAATCCACTTAAAGGCAAAGATGCAAAAGACAGACTCCGTACAGACATGAGGGTCTGGGAACAGAATAAACAGTTATCCAAAGACAAAACACTTCCTGGTGAAGGAAAGGGCTCTGCATTGCCCACTCTGGCTGGCAATCATCCTGGTGCTTGACAACCTAGATTAGAAAACGTACACCATGCACACATCCAACAGTACTCTGAGCTGGAACTGTTGAACAAGCATCTATGACTACCAGTTGATGTGATGGTGCTTCCTCACCAATGAAATTATCTCAGCTGAGATGAGCGAAAAGAATAGCTGAAATGGCATTTATATAGAGATACTGAAAAAATTCAACCAACATGACTTGAAGGACTATTTAGCTTCTGCAGGAACCACCATACTTCTAGAAAGTGCACCTGCCTCGGCTTATCGCTGTCATGTTTATAAGGTTTGGTTTACAAATGCCTGCGGCTCATAAGCGTGGCACTAGCTGTCAGCTCGCGTGACAGTATTGTCTATCTATGAACAATTAGATACTCCACTGCCAGGGGACAGTCTCATGAGTCCAAAACAGACCTGAAAGGTGTTCTGAGGAGACACTGCTATAAGGACTCTTATAAGCGTCATCCTCATACTCTGACTGGGGAAGCAGGGGGAAGAGGCAAGAAAATCACCACCAAAATCCACCAGTGCTCCTTTTATGAACTCAGTCCAAGTAGGAAAACATATATCAGGTCTCCAAAGAGTCTTTTTGCTTCTACTAGTACCTTAGAGCTATGGTGAAGCCAAAAAGAAGGGCTTTAAACTATCCTGCCTGATTTAGAAAGCTACTGTCACTGAGCCTAAAAGATTCAAAGTACAGTTTACCTCTCTCACTCTGAAGGATGCAATAGCTTTTGAAAAAAACAAACTGAATTCAGGACTGTCACATCTGCCACAGCCTGAGGACAAGTGTTGTGATATTTTACACTACAGTTCCTTATCTATCTGTTTGACACTAAGAAATATCCACTGAAAAACTCCTTCCCATGCATCTCCAAGACAACTGATTCTATAGTTTCTCTTCAAACAGCAAGTCCAACTCCTGCCAAAGCAAGCTGAGAAAAATCTTGCAGAGTACCAGAGGCTTAAATTGGATTGCATAGCCAGAATCCATACGTCCAGTGTTATCTGCATCCGAGCTTGATGCAATGAGCAAGCCCGCCCTTAAGAGATGGGCAAAACAGCAGAGAAAATATTAAGTAAAAGCTCTGTGGAAAAAACAAAGTTATTTGTGCCTTCTCAGCAAACTGTCAGAAATCAGTGGAAGAGCAAAAACATCAGAGACAGCTGCTCGCTCACAAAAGAACGTTGGTTAGAGCAGTTGACAGAAGCAAGCCAAATAATGATACTAAATGGGCAGGCTGTCATCCTTCTGTCAGGAAGGATCGGCAGAGTTGTGCTTTTTTGGATAGCCACCAGGAAGATGCAAAAGTGCCTACAGACAATCCTAAAAAAAAATGCAAAACATAGCAATCATCCCTGTTCAACTCCAGACAAACATGAATTGTTTGACAAAAGACTTCCTTTTTTTTTTTTTTTTTGGTGAAACATAAATCAGGAAGATGTACGCACAAGGCTTTTAGTACAGAAGTTGCCAGAAATCCAGAAACAGAATGCGCTACTAAGGTAGCGTTCAAAGGCATTTAGGAAATCAGCTCTCTCCAAAGAGACCAAATCATCCTCCTTGAGGATACAGGCAGGAGATTAATGAAAAGAGCCAGATGGTCAGTGAGCTTATGTTCACACTGAGTCAGGAAAAAGTCTGGTAATTTGCCAAGTGTCACTGCAGCAGAGCCAAAGTATAGATCAGCTGACATCAACTGCACCTAAGCTGCTGGTGTCATTGTCTCAAGAATGAGATTTATCGTATTTTTCAAGTTCGTATCTCATCATATGAGACAAACAAAAAGGCTGATAGGTAAATGGTAGACAGTTTTGCTTGAAAGAGATTGTCCACTGGTATTTTTGGTCAAGGAGAGTACAGTACCTTTACTGCATGTGAAAAAGAGAGAGGACAACATCTCACTGCTGTCAGAGCAAAGCTGAGAAAGAAGTTACCCCTGCGAGAGATTTCTTTGGCGATTGGTTAACATAGACTCTTTAAAAGCACTTAACATCGAAGCACTTAATATCTGTATGGTAACGAAGACCAATTTTAGTCTCTGTCAGTCTGGACAGAAGCCAGTACCGCTGCCTACCTCAAAGACTTTTTGGTATTTGCACACACCCATCATGGATGCAAGATCTGAAGCAGCAGACAGCACATCTGCCTTATGCATGTCCTTGCCACGCACGTAGCGTGTGGATTACATGAAGGAATTCAATCATCAGGGTGGCACAGAGGTAGAACTTCAGCTCCAAAGGAGCCACGGAGAACAACTTTTGGGAGAGAGATAAGAACAAGCAAGGAGGCATACCTACAACTGCCTAATACAACTACAAATGACTAAGACAGACTTCAATGCAAATTCAAGACAGGGATGCAAACAAGGTTACGCTGGAGGTTTCTTTAGCTCTCCATAGTTAGCATACTAACTCCAACAAGGTGGTTGAGAGATATCAAAAAGGTCTGGAAATAGTTTGTGTTATATACTTAGGCATTTAGCTGGAGGAAAGCAGTACATGAATGTACCTTCTACAGGTGCTGAAAAAGAAAAGAGGAAAAAAAAAACCACCCCATCCTGTCATGGCAGGAGAAACATACATAGAGTGAAGATACTCACAGGCTATCATTCAAAGGAAGGTATATCTCATTACTACTCAAAATTAGGGATTGTTACGAACGTGATCAGTTATAATCATGGGATTTTACACAATTCTAATCACAGCAATCACAATAGCACTTGCATCATCGTAAGCATTACGAGTCAGTCTGGAAAATGCCAGCATTCCCAAGGTTGAAAAGGAAAGCTGCCTGAGCTAGCAAATGAACAACGCTCACCAAGCACAACTGCTCCCTTATTTACTGAGCCAGTAACTGCTTGCTAACAATCACAAAATTATCAACTCTCCCTTCTCACACTACATAAAGCATAAGAAAAAGAAATTATGTCACTATTGTAATTAGATATTTTGCAAGCATACTGTAGGGATATTTAAATGAGTCTCCTCTACTGTAGATGAAAAGTAAATACTTACCCCTTCCCATTGGGGAAGATTTTGAACTGACACCCAAAGGCCTATAAATTCATCAAACCAAAGCCTGCAAGAAAACAGAATCAAACTAATTTTAGTGTTGTGAAGGCATCTCTTTCACCAGACACACTCTTCACTTTGCAAGCTGGTCTTAGAAGCTCATTCCTCTCCCCAACTCGCTCAGCAAAAAGAAGAATCAGCATAGACACACACTTCGTCTCCCATAATACCCTCCGCACCCTCAACTCTGATCCCAAGCTTCAGTCCTAGATTCTTCTACCTCTCTCACATTCTTTGCCAACTCCTCCTTCCACACAAACATTGCAAACGGAGTTTCCTTATCTACTTCAGCTTCACCCTTTTCTTATTCTATATTGTCATCTCAACACAGGGAAGCCATGTGAACATGAGCCACACTTTCTCAACCTTTCTAGCTTACACTCTAAAATCTGTCTCTATCGTCCAATACTTAAAACTGTCATTAGCTTCTATTCCGATTTCATGTGAGGCCATGGGTAAAAATCTTCTGCACAATTAGTTATTTCCATTTCCATTGTTTTTAAATACCAAATTCCATTAAGACATGAATGCAAGACACATATACATAAAGGAGCTATCATATGAACTGATTCACATGACATGTCTTCAGATATCATCCTGTAAGAGAGAATCCTTTGCATCAGCAACAAAATACTATAAGACTAGATATTCAATTATACTTACTTGAAACCTTTATGGTGAAGATCTGGAGGAAGGGTAGTGGGTAGAAATAACTCAAAGTAAGTAATAGCCTTTTGCATGGTAACATCAAAGGGACACATTAAAGGCCGCCATTCATCTAACATCTCCTCAGTGGCATCTTCTGGAAAATATCTGAGAACAAGAAAAGCGTTGAACATGTGCAACTTAGCTTTAAAGTTGTTGAGTTTTTCCCCCCTCATGTTTAAAACCCAACATGCACTAGTTTGTTATAAATCTTAGTTTTACAGCAGGACCACGTACCCAGAAGCAATAAAATAAAATAGATCAGGACTCTTCAACCCCACTTATCCTTCACAAAACACGAAGTTAAGATCCAAGGACACCATTGTGCACCATTTTATGAACACAAACGTAAAAAGATTCTTATCTTGCTGAACCAAAAAAAAAAAAAGATTAGAAAAGATGCAAAATCATTTCAATGTGAAGGCTGGTCAAAACCACACACCTGTTATTCACATTTGATACAAGATTATTAAAGATGACTTAAGGCATGAAGAGTACTATTTACTGGAAGATCACCAAAATCCTGCAAGGATTATTTAATTTCTTTTAAAAGAAACTACTTATCGATGCAATGCAGTTTTTGAAATGCATAGCAAACGTAAGTATTTAAACAACTTAATTACTGCAGTGGAAACAGGGCCAATTGGAAGTCACGTTATCGGTATTTCAACCTCAAGTCAGAATTTTTAGAAGTGTCACATTTTCATTTTTAAAGAACTCTTCTTCAGTGACTTTTTCATTTATAATAAATGCCAACCAGTCGACAACAAAAACTAGATTTCTTTACTTTGCTAAACAAAAATAAAACAAAAAACCCACCACACGTAAGTGGGGAAAAGCATCGGGTGTCTTTACGTTGATGTTCCTCATACTAACCTGCACTGTGTTTAAAAATCCCATATTGTTAAACATCTTATACAGGAGTGCTCAATGGAGTAACAAGTCAGTTCATGAATCAACTACCTCCATGAAAATAGATAACAATTATAAATGGCTATATGAAGGGTAGACAACAGAGAACTAGCCCCTCCTCTGCATCTTTGCGGTACCTGAACTGCCAAAGTCAATTAATGCAGAGAGCAAGAGTGGCTCAGGCATATGCATTCCAAGCAGTGAATATAACAGAGAACACAAAAGATTAAAAGGAGTAGGCCTTATCCAGTAATACACTGGCTTTCTAACTGCTCAGCTAGCTTTTACTAGATTTTCAGCCAAGGCTGTAAGGAAAAAGATAAATTTTAAAAGACACACGCTTTGTTTAAACATAATAGCATGGCACATGGCTGTCATTTTGTTTTTATTTTAAGCAACCGACAAACCTGAGGTATTGACCATATATAACTGCAATAAGCCAGAAACATCTTGCCACCCCCAGAAAAGTCTTAGGCAAACAAGCTGAGACAGCATCAGGCAAGAAGTGACTAGTAGGGTTTTGAATTTATCCAGACAATGTCTTTAATGTTACTTTAAGAAGGGGAAGAAGAGTATAAAGATACATGCTTCAAAAATCAAAATACAGTTTAACACTTACGGTCGGCAGCTCTTCACAAGTGTTTTTAGAACACTTTCTACAGAACTGAAACAAGAAAGAAAATATTAGGGATTACCACATATCAAGAACTGCATTAAAAACCCCAATCGTTTGCTGGTTTTTCTCAAGAGTCTGAGATAGTATTGATGCAATTAGCCATCCTCTGTGAACATGCAGATATGCTAATCCTCTTCCACACAGATCTATTTACAAGGATTAAAATCACTCTGCTAAATTCCTGATTCTACCTTTTATGCACTATTCACTGTGTTTTAACTAGAATGAAGAATTATCATCATTACTTAGACATAATACCCTGCATTCTATTGGTGACTAACCAGCAGAGCAAAGGAATGCTTGAGTGCAAGCTGCAAATACAAAGAGAGAAAACTGATTTATGGACTTCATAAATATTTATAAGATAATTAAGGGCAATAGACTTCAAAAAGTGATAATTCGATTCCAAACCCTAAATCCGCTCTTTTCAAATTTTTTGTTTTATGTACAGTGTTTCTAAAAAAGAGAACTGAACTGTCCATAAATCAATGGTTATTTCATTGACTTCTCTCACACTTATGAACAGTCGATTTTAAAATAGTGTTTCCACCCGTAGCAGAAAAGCTTATTTCTGAAGTTAACAGTGACTGTCTTCTATAATCATTTTAACACAAATTGCACAGGATGCATCAGCCATTTGGAAAAAAAGAGACAAAACTTCAGAATAAACTGAAAGAATAACAAAAGAGAGATATCAATGAAACCCTAACGGCAGTCGATTTTCGTGCTCTTAAGGTCCAGCATTTATTACAAGACCACTTTCAAGACTAAATTGCACTTTTACCAATACCATTCCCCGAACAAAAATTTTCGCAAAAGAACTTCCTAGATCTTTTAGATATATTCTCTGCACTCTAAAAAGACATCCTTCCATTCATCATCACAAACAGATATAGAAATGCCATTTTGATCGCCATGAAGATGATATAGACTAATCACCTTTAGGATCGTATCAAAGATCAGCTTAGATCAGTAATTTCTAGACATTTTATTTATTTCTAGATTAAGCATGCACATGTTCTCTCTCTCTCTAGTTCCACACAAAATAAACTGATTCCACACTAGCCAGGAGAAATATGAAATGGATAAACCACTAGTTCTAGAGAAAACCTTGGAAAGAAAAATCAACAAAGAAAGAAACCCCAATCATCCCTTCAACAACAGCTCAACATTCCGTACAGGCCAGCAGAATCCCACCCCCCGCAGCACTATTTCAGGACAAGCAGCACGCTAGAAGATTAAAAAAAAAAAATTCTGTAAATTTTATCAAATACTGACAAATGCAAATCTGCAGCTTCTCCCAGAAGGAAAGCTTGAAGCTTACTGACAATTTCTAAACATTTCAAGGAAGAGCAGGAACAGCCAACCATTCATCATAAACAAAAATAAGATCAAACTCTAATAAGCTCACCAAGATTCAAGAACAGCATTCACTTTAACCCAGAGTTACGCAGTAGACAGCAGTTGTTTCAATAGTAGATAAAGAAAGTAAAAACCAGCAACTTTCCTTAAGAGCATTAAAGATCAACATGAAAAACGTCTGTGTGGTAAAACAACAACAATAAAAAAGCTACTTCGTTCCACTGAAGTAAACTATCACAAAGGAGAAGAGGAGGACAGAGGAAACTTAAAATGCACAAATACTGATGCCAGAGATGAACAAGTCTTTCAAGTTCACAAGTTTTAAATTAGATCTCAGCATTTGAGAGTAAAGGATGGGGGAGGAAGACGACCGGAAGGGCTTTTCCCTCCTGTCCTCTGGCCACGGATTTACAGCGGAAGCTAAAGAGAAAAAGCGAACAGCAGACAATTTTATACGCAAGGAGATATCCAGCTAAGATATGGTTTAACCATCAGCCAACTATAGAAGATACCTTGTAAGATTCCAGTTTTATGACTACCACTTAGAAAGGAACCGGACAATATATTTGGGGAGAACAAGAGACTACTGGCTGCTGCTTTTATCACCACTTTGAACAAACTCTTTCAAACTTCCAAGCAATGCGTTCTGCTCAACATTTGGTTACGCTCTTTGTATGCCCATTTCTGCAGAATCGTGGAAAACATCTACAGTTACCACACTAGTGGGTTTCCATATGCTGCTGTACCACTAAATCTAGCTAAAGATTAGAAGAGCACAACAAAAAGCAATTGAATACATAACTCACACTGGATGGAATAAACAGACCACTACATTTGTTTTCCTGTCCTCTCAGAGGTATTTAATGCGGACCACTGAGATAAGTTGTTGAAACCTTTGTAGTAGAGATACAATGAACAAAAACTTACACTGGAAAGTTATCCTCTATTAGTTACTGAAGCAAACAGCTTATTTAATGAGATAAAGGAAATAATTTCTCATCCCATTCAGTTTTCCTTGCTTTTAGTTTCTCCTTCCTTATTACTTCAAGTAATATCAGCTTATTATCATCTATCTTGACATATAGATGTACGAAAAAAAAGACCATCCAAAAACACTGGTCATTGTTTTTATACTACATAGTTACTTTATGTGGAAAGGACACGAACACATTAGCTTGTGAATCCATTTTTTTCCCTGCATTTTCAGAGGAACACATTTGGGTTAAAAAATTAATATAAGCTGATACTGTTGACTCTTACATTATCAAAAAGCAGTAAACACACTATTTTCAATTTTTCAGGATGGAGTCATGCCTTAAGCAATATTCTAGCCCTGCAGTGAACACTTCATTACAACAGCTTAAAATAAGACAACAATGAAATATAGCAACCAGTTACGGTTTCACAAATTAAGTCATTCTAGTGAGTTTCTATGACACATCAAAATCAAGTATCTTATTGGATTAGTACCGATAAAAGATTTCTTCCTCCAAAAAAATACTACAAAGCTAAAATTTCTCTTTGGCAACTACTTCAGTTCCGCTTATCTCTGTTTTAAACTATTTCTGAATTCATATATTCACACACCAAGTCTTCCAATACGTTTTCCAGTGCAAAAATTCACAGCGAACTGTTAGGACACAGAAACTTTTTTCACACTTTACTACTAGAATGTTGTGCCTTAGTATATTTTCCAGAACCTATTACCTCATTGCTAAAGCACTTTCCATGATTTCATCGTTTTTAATAGTAAGGTAAACTTACTCAGCGACATGCACTCCTACACAAATACTGATTTTGTCCATATTCAGACACAGTAGCTATTCAGACCTAAAATTTATCTTTCATTTGACCCTTGAAACATATATGCTGGTTAAATTAGTTAACATAGAGCCACTTTGTCAGCCAGTTCACACACCGTATATTGTTCTCCCATTAGAAAGGTTTACATACAGTGCGACATTCTCATAAACAGTGGTGTAATGTTAAAATTGGTTTTCCAGTACAATTATTTATGCAGAAAGTTACACCTGTGTGACAAGTGTTACAATCTAACAGAACATGCAGAAGATTACACATCGGCCAGAGCTTTTGGGGGGGGGGGGGGGGGGGGGGGGGGGGGGGGGAGGAAGGGGAAAGGGAAGTCATTCTTACCACCTATGTAATACATTAAGCACAAATGTTTTAGGTGAAGACAAGCCTGGTCGATATGAACTGAATTAGGAAAAAAAAGAAAAAAAGAAAAAGAAAAAAGAAAAAAGGATTTAAAATACGATAGTTAAATTAACAGTTACAAATTATCTGAGTTATTAAAAATATTGCTTGACATCCAAAAAGGCAACCCTCAAAATTGAATGTAAAATAAGGGGGAAAAAAAACACTGCATGAGAACAAATCGCACTGCATATCAAGACGGAGCGTCTGAATTCTAAATACAGTTCATAAAAGATTAAAGTTTCAGACAAACCACCACCATTGTTACCCTCCTCCTAGTTACCTTCCTTCTTTTCCCTCTTAGAAAAAGTCTCCTCCCACTACGCGAGTTTCTCTCACAGTAAATGGAAAGTGACTAGTCAACACCACAGGGCAAAGTATGCAGTTTCTGTAGGTGCTGGCAAACATACAAAGTAAACTAACTAAAAATGGCTCTGCTCCTTCGGATTTTCATTTACACATAATATCTACAATTAGCGAAATCGTTCTATTTTGCTAAATTGCACTACTAACAATTTTTTTTCCCAGCTATATAGCCTTGAGACAAACTCAGCATGAAACGCTCCCTAACGAGTTACAAGGTTGCATATATTTTCTTTTCATGTCACATATCAAAAATAGGATCATCTTCTCAGTAAAAGGAATCTGAGCATTGCACTCAAATATTCCTGGCCAGAAAATAATTCTTCCCTTTAGGATAAATTAAGTATGAGAAATTAAGTTTAAATTTATTTAGATTGAATGAGTTACTTTATATATTTTGTAATTAAAATTTACAGGAAAGAATCTTCTCTAATCTCACTTAACACAAGAATTGTGACTACAGCAATTTGTCAAAAGGCCAGTGGAAAGAAAATGAAGAAAATAAGATTTTTAAAATTAGTAGAACATTAAGACTCTTAACTGGGAAGAAATGGGTTTGCCCATATTGTACCACCACTCTGAAAAAAAAACTATGTGTATTTCCTATAAAAGGTACTTCACTTTTCTTTGTTCACGTGCTGATTTACATCCAGATTACGTATGCTAGGAATGCTTAGAGCACAATTTAAGAACAGTACCATTTTTTATTTTCCCCAAGCCGTGTTGTATGACAAAACTGAACAGAAGATATTTAGCCTGAATCCCGTGAAAAATTTAACACTAGGTTATTTCCCAAAAGCAAGTTGAAGGTGCCTGTTTTAGAGCATTTAGAAATGAACTTGGTCATGTTAATGAAAAGAAAAACATCATAAAGAAAGCAATTCATTAGCAAAGGGATATACACAATTCAGTATCGTCTTGGATACAATTGTTTATATTTCGTTTTCAGTAAACTAAATACGTATTTACTGTATATCAAGTTCCAGATATTAAAAGCAAACATGCAAGTGTACTTCCAAGCACTGTAAGTACTTACAACTAATCAAATGTTTTAAAATGCAAACTTACTTGGGAAACCAGTTTAATCCAAGATGCTCTGTTTTGGAGTATAATATCCTTTCCAACATTTCATAAAGCGGTCTCCATGGTAACTCTAAATCATCCCTGGAAAGCAGTTCTTTTTTCCTAATATAAGAAAATAATGAGCACTTTAGGATTAAACATTTACACTGACACACTGCACATCAGAATACCACACATACCACACAGCGCAGGAACACTGCTCTGAACTATGTTTATCTTCAGCATTTGGCACAAAGCAGTGGAAACTCGAACAAGAAAAAGACGCTTACAGAATTTCTCCATGAACATAAGCTATCAAGATCGTCAGGAAAAGTCTAAGTGAAATTAAATATTAACAAATTGTAAAACAGTCCTCGTTATCCTCCTACCTGAGATTCAACATTCGGTTCTCCGATTTTTTTTTCCTTTCCTGATAAGAGAAACAAAACTAACATTCTTTCACTTTCAATACTATTAACAAAGTTTTAAAAGGGGCAAGGTGTTCACATCAGACAAATTTTTTAACCAAATCATCTGTGCAGGGGGTATTAAGAGAAGAAATCTGTAATAGGACATACTAAACTATATAGCAAGATTAAGTAAATGGAATGATCAGCTATTTAGAGATGAGAATTTCAGCAGTCAGCAGAAATCTGTACTTACTTTAACAGGTTTATCAACAGGCGTGCAAATCCTTGCATCATGCTGATCTCCAGTTTTGGAATTGTTACCAACTCATATAAGAGCTTAATAAAAAGCACATGATCTTCTTTGCTAAATTTTCTCCCATATAATCGGATATATCTAAAAACAAAACATGAGATGAATCAGCAATATTTTTAAACATTCTCATTTGATCTAATACTCAAGCCAGATCTCATCTGATTTGCTGTTTAATGAAAATAAACAGGACAAAAATAAAACCTTCTTTCCAAGTCCTACAAATAAGAACTTAATGACAGATCTGCAGTAGATCTTGATACCTGAAACTAGCAAAGAAAGTACTACATACTGCAGTTTCCAGAAAATGCTTACTTCTGTTATAACTTGAATAAATTTTTTGCATTTATAGGCATTTTGCTACACTCCTAAGACAAAGATCGCTTGGAAATGAGAATGAGCCTTTCAGGAAGCATTGATTTGCAACCAAGGGTAATCCTTGCACTAAATATATTATTTCTCTTTGCCAGCCAGGAGGGCAGCATACCTATAAAGTGCAAACCTTAAAGAACGAGCAAGTGTTAGCAGGTGACATTTCTATTTAGTAACAGACTCTTTCTAACCATGATTTGTTCTAAGTTTCTTCTAAAGGGAAACAGGATTTTAATTAAAGTTGATTTAGTGGATCTAAGCCCAATTTTAAAGTCTTAAATAAAAATGGAGTGTGCTACATAGAGATATCTATGAAGAACATGTTTCCTTTACCTCATCTGTCTAAACACAAACCATTACCTTCAATAAATAACCAGAAATAACAAGGACAGTCTACTTTCTCCTGAGATTCTACAATTAGCATAACACAACGCTCACACCAGACACCACGAAAACAAGGGTATCATTCTTTCAACTCAGTTATTCACCTCAGAATGTACCAGCTATTAAGTTTAGTATTTTCTATAGCTCCATATAATCATTCCTCTAACAAAAACAAGAACTGTCACAAGCAGCTTTATTATACCCTATCTTGCCCTTTTCAGCTGATGCACTTTAGGGAGGAGACAGGACACAATTCAGAAGCTAATAAAAAGGTGTTTCAAGTACAGTCCACACGTGATAGCTTGCAGTAAGACTGAATAGTTTATTTAGACACTGAGCGTGGCTGGTGGCGTGCTCCACTGCTATCCTTTAAATGTACTATTAAAAGAAAACGTAGTTCCATTAGAATTAACTTTGGAAGAAGCACATGCTATAATCACGTTTATATGGATAAAAGGAAAACATTTTAATTCAAAACAACCTGCTCCAACACAACCTATATAGGATTCCTGTGCAGCATGTCGCACAGCTATGAATTACTACTCACCTGGGAAGCACACTTTCCCTTTTTATTACTGTTCCAACTATTCTGACAGGTTCATGAGAAACATCACTAACACGCTGTCGTGTAAGTAGCTGTTTGATAAAACATACAAGATATAACTCCCATAAAATAATTTTCAGAGAAGCGTATTCACTATTTTTTTTTTTAAAGATTTAGTAGAAGTTGGATTGATCTGCTGCTAAATAAACACTAGTGAAGCATCAAGGCTTATTTGGGTAACATGAGGAATGTCAGATCTCACACTACTTTTTTGGTATGCAGAATAGCCTATATTTCAGAATCACTGGAATCACAATGTGAAAAGGTCAGAAAATAAATAAGTCTCTGAAGAAATCCGACTTGAAAGTGACAGAAGACAGAGGTTGGGTAATTTTTAAAAAAAGCAAACATAGCATTTAGTGATTTAGCAACCCAATCAAAAAAACTGACCATCCTGATTCCTGAATTTGATCTCGGAAATTGACTCCTTAAGTAGCATTGAAGAAATCAGTTTAATGCATCTATTTTACTTTTGAATGCCTCACTCATCTGTAAATTTTTACTCCTCACAGAACTGTCAGTGGGAGAAATGACTACTTGAGAAACAAAGTTTGGATCCCTTAATAAAACATGCTGATGTGAAGCATGCTTCACATAGTGCCACAACAGCACATTGGATTTGGACTCAACTACTTGACCACTTTTTTCTACTCCCCAACTTTCTCATGCCTCATCGCTAGTTTTCAGAGAAAACTCTGGCGCACTCCCCTTTTCCCTTTGTATTTCAGTGGTGGATTTTGCATTTGACAGGCAGTATTTTCACTAACTCTCATTTCAAATCCAATTCAATTCTCCATCATTTTTATGCTCGGTGTAGTGCCTCTGGAGATAAAACTAAAAACCTGATTCCCTTACTGTAAAAAGCATTGAGTACACCAAACTTTCACTCCACAATTACAATAGGCTTTGTTGTTGTTCTTTAAAGGAAACATACTATGGTATGAGGTGGGCACCCTAAATTGCCCTAGAAAGTTGGCTGTTGTGCTACAGTTGAAAATTGCCTTCAGTTACTCACCTACGCAGCTGAATAGAACGCTCTCTTAAATTCCTAGCAATCTAATTTCATTTTCCAGCGCGCAAGAAAGGAGTGTCATCTGTTCAAAACTAATATTTAAAAAACCCTATGCACAAAAAACTATTTAAATCCAATATCTGTATATAGTATACCCCAACCCAATAGAAATCTCATTTTTCTCTCATAAAAATGGGAAGGAACGGAAGTAAATAAAAGATGCTTAAAGCAACAGTGATTGAAATACTTCAGAAGAAGTTTCATTGACGGGTTTTATCCTCACTGCAAGTTTGTGTCCTGCAATTCAAAACAGTTGAACTACATTTTTGCATACCTCACAGTAAGACATTTAACTATCATTCTGTAAGAAGTCTCTACCCCTAACACAAAATAACACTGTGAGGAATAGAACCTGTGTCCCCTCAGCTCCAAAAATTCAACCCTTGTCCTTTGCAGTAGGAAGTGCAGAAAGATCCTTGCCTATTCTCTCAGCTGCATCAAACAATTAACTATATATACTGTAATTATTAGATGTTCTTATTATACTAATATGCTTATTTACAACCCATGCTCTAAAAACACCTATGCTCAAAGTTTCTATGAAAAAACGTAAAAAAGTGAAAAAAATATAAAGCAGCTGCCTATGTTTGAGGTAGGGGACCGTAAAAGAATACGATGCAAGCCCATTTACGCAAATAATTGCTGCAACTTAAGTTCCCCCCACCACACACACACACTGTAGCAAGTTATACAACCAAGATGAAGCCTCACGCTTCCGTAACAGGATTAGTGTTTTACAAAACGCAGATTTTACCGGCCAAAGTGGGAGGAGTCTTGGAATACTAAAGACAGGACTTCTGAGGAACACAATTACAGATTTAAATTCTGATCCTCCAAGTAAGTAGTTTTACTTGCATAAGAATTCATACTAAGCCAAAAGTTTCTTAAGAAACTGAAATATTCCTGTTTTTGCAGAAGAGAAAGTTTTCTTACCACACTCTGTATAAGCACTCCAATGAAAGACTCCATTTACATCACTGAAAATTATGCATACAAGAACAATTATGCAAATTAACTGACAGACATTATATCTAACAAATCCCAGTTTTAGACGTCTTTCCCT